GGTATTCTTCAGATTCATCTGGCAAAAATTATAGTCTCAAAGTGAAGGATGTTCCTGTATTTAACCGTTTATTAAATCCTAGAAGAAATGCTTTGGGATCAGCCTTGAACCATTTCACCCAGCCTTCTCAACCCTGCTGAAAAAGCCCCAAAATTACAAAGTTAATTGACAGCACATTGTTTCCATATGTGGTGCGCTCACATTGCCCTGAAGTTTATTTAAGCTTGAAAAGAGGAATGGAATATTACAATCCAACTGGCCCTAGTTATTAAGGAGATGATCTTCCTCAAGCCTTTTGCTGACCTTATACTTTGCTAGCACCTCTTTGTACACTTCTGGACATGCTCAGCATAGGTCCTCAGTGAGACCAGGATTTTCTTGATTAATTCCACAGCAACCTCTCTGATTCTGTTTCTGATGCAACAGGAGGTATAATTAATGCACACTCAAGATACCATATATATTAAGAGGTAAAGGGGAACTACATGATACATGAATGAGAACCAGTGGGATATGGTGGTTAAAAGAGAAGGTCTGAGATTCCAGTCCCTGCGCTGCAGTCAGAGAGTTCAATGGGTGACTTTGGCTCAGTTGCAAACTCTCAGACCAACCTACCACATAGGTTGTTGTTATGAGGAAAGATTGAGAGGAGGAGAATGAAATAAGCCACTTTGAGTTCCTTGACAGGAAAAAAGGTGGGATATAAATACAATAAATGTATTAATCTGCAATGCCTTTGTTATGAAGATTCATACTCAGCAGCAGTGTGGGATTGTGCTGTGCATCATTCCCTCTAATAGTGAATGTAAGTAGCAAGTGTTGACAGTATTCAAGCCAAAACAGGCCAATGAAAAACAAGAGGGAGGTATGACAAACTAGGTGGAACTCTGAGGTTCACAGAAGTACAAGGATTCTTAAAAATACACGGACAGAACATCCCCACCACAAAAGCCCAGCTCGGCAGCTATGGGCCTGTGAGTATCAGCTGAAGGAAGGAGGAAAGGAATGGGTGGAGAACAGAATGCGCTGCTCTGGAGGAGGCATGGCTGGCTGGCTGAAATTCTGAATCAGAATGCTGCAACTGTTTAATGTATATTCCACTTGTCAAACAAAGTCATGAATCGCATTAGAATGCAATTTCTAGACAGAAAGATGTATCAAAGTTGCAGAACTTCACATGCTACCTTTTGGAGTACTTATGTAAATAAGTTACTGAGGATGTGGTATCAAATATAATCAGCAGGTTCATCTGAGAGCTGTAGATCAGATTGAATCATGCACAGTTTGCCTATTCTCATCTCATCTATACTGAAGACAGAGGTAATATCAGGCTGTGCATGGGCACTGCAGTTTAGACACAGGAAACTGCAATGATGAATAAGAAACCCCGTGTCAGATCCATCCCTCTTTTCCCTGACTCTACCTTCACAAATACTAGTTGTGCACTAAATAATAACACATAAATGCAGGACAAGAGGAGGCAGATTTACACTTTCAACTGGGATCACTGTTTTCCTTGCACAGAGCATAAGAGTTTGCCTTTCCAAAACTCTGCACCTGCATAGCTAGTTCATTTTGTCTCATCAACTAGATTTTTTAAAATGCCCAAGCAGACTCTCATGAAGTGAAGCATCAGGTTCTAATAAACAACATCTTTGGTTGATTTTATCAATTGAATACATGAAACACAAGCTATCAACCCTCAAAAGTTAAATTCACAGCATGCTCATATCTGCAGTTCTTCTCCACTCCAAAGGAAATGTACTTGCCTCTGTATTTAAGACAATGTGTTCCAAGGTTAAGAATAAACTGAGGGAAAAAGTAGATGGCAAAGATTTAGTTTGTCTCTCCCTGCTATTTTAGCATACACACTAAACATCCCTCAGAAGAGCTGTTATATAACGAGAACTAGCATGAAAAACATGGATTCCCAGTATTCAGACTTGTGCAGTTTTGTTTAGGGAAATGCTTGATAAAATGCAAAATCCTCTCAGAGTGGGATCCCTGAGTATTTAAAAGAAGTTGTGCAGGGGGCTGGGGAGCAACAGCGGGCTCTTCTTATACTCGTATAGTGCAGGAATAAACATGTTCAAGCAGTGTGCTACCAGAGGCAGAGTCCATTTGAGCAATTTAATGGGCATTACTCCTCCTTTTTTCTGAATTTAGCCACTTGTATGTACAGGTTTAGATATATCAGCACACAGACCTTCAGAAGATACTGAAACAAGGTATGCATGCTATGAGGCATAAGGCATGCCTGGTATTGTCACATTTCCAGCAGATCTGTAAATACTAGGCTGCTGTACAATGCATTAAAATCCAGCAAACTGGACCTGACTAAGAAGGAACAAATGCACAGTGGTTTCCTTGATATCAAACCCCATTTACAGTCCATCGTGAAATTCCTGGCACTGTCCACATTTTAGCACGGTGAAGGGGCATGGTAACTCCTTATTTCTTCTCTTCTACAAGTAGAAACTGAACAACCAAATTGAACAGATTTGTTTAGAAAAACAGACACTCTCAGCAGTATCAGTGGATTTCTCACTATCCTCTGTAAACAATTCAGTCAAATTATCCTTCAGTACCAGAGGTACAACTTATATTGAGGCTGAATGTCAATTCTGGTATCTAATCAAATGATGTTCTTCCCCTGTGTCTGCTTACAAAATTAATTTAACTGTATTTATCAAATGACTCCTTGACATTTAAGTATCTAGGTGGTCTGCCTCCCTTAAATCCTGTCCTGTGCCAAGTAAGTGACCGAAGCACACCTTTAGAGAACTCCCACCTTGCATGTTACATTAATTCCACGTCTCCCATTTCAGGAAAAAAAATACTTCAACATGCACTGAGGGTGGAGCATACCAGAAAAGGGGAACACATTCTTACAGATCTGGACTAATTCTTCTGTACAGGAAAACTGCAAGGGCTGGGATTGTTTACCTTAGAGAGGAGATGACAAACATCCCTACAATTACAAAGCTCAACTGGAATGCAGAGAGGCAGTATCTAGCCTCCCTGCCTTGTAGCATAAAAGAACAAAGGCTATTCTGTGAACCGATGAGTGAAAACTGAGATGAGGAAATATTTTTCTACACAATGTCACCTTTAGATTGGTTGTCCCAAGCTACAAATAGTGTGAATAATAAACTTAGTAGGATTCAAAGGGGCATAGGCCTATAGGGACATATGGCTAGGTAGAATAAAAATAAAAATTAATTTAACTGTATCATATCAAGAGTTTTGGAAAATCAAATCCATTTTGCTGAGGGGTGAAGTAAGAGTATAATAGCAAGGTTAGAAGTAGTTAAAAAATTAAGAGGCAGTTTGTCCTTGCTCTACAGAATAATTGTATTTCTTTGTCTATTTCTTTGAGTCAGATCAGTTCCAGTATAGAAACCTCTTAGATATAGATGACACATACTTTTCTCTGCATTCAGCAACAACTTTCCTCATATCTTGTGCTTACTAACTTAATGGAGAAAACAAGCATACATTCATGTTAAAAGTACATGATGGTCAAATCCACAAAATTGCAAATTTGAGGGCAAAGGACAGAGAAATAGAGATAAAAATACAAGTGAGTTTCTGTTGTGACCACTTCTTTCTCCATCATAAGGAAGTATCTTCATTAATACTAAACTTAGATAATTTCATGTCTGTCTGTTTGAAAGCAAAATGGGGACACAAAATTCCCCAAATGGCATGATTCTTCATACTTGGGGGCTCCTTAGGTATGCAGAAATATTTATGCTTGTAAAAATAAATAAATGCTCAAAGATATTAAAAAAAACCAACCAATTTTATTCAACAAGGACCAGTGAGCTTCCACCCAAGGTTCCAGAACTATTAAAGGGCAACCTGTGCCACTCAATGCATAAGGTAGCCACGAAAGAAAATAAAAATGAGGGAGTAGAAATGCAGGGAGGAAGAAATTGGCCTACTTGAGACCCTAAGTGCTTATAGTTCCTGAAGTGTGGATTGGCACTGGGGAAAGATGTGTGCCATGAGGTTAAGAAACTCTTCTCCTCCTAGTATGTATGGTTATGAACCATGAGCAATTCTGGTCCAGGCTGGATAGAACCCTGAACAGGAGTACCCCTCTTACAAGTTGTGAATTCAAAGCAACATGTGTTTCCAGGTCTCTGCTTGTATTCCACAAGGCAGCAGCAGGTATCCAGAATGCATTTTTTCTTTGATCAATGTGTAAGACTATTTACATAATGCAATACGCAAATGGATTGGGGGATCATATTCTCTGGGGGCTGTAGAAGTAATTTTTCACCAAAAATATAAATTTTACTCCACTATGATTATAGACTTAATCTTGGTTACAACTTGCAGCAAATTTAACAGCACACCATGATACACTACACACACAGCTATGACTGGTGGAAGTAATCATTGGCAAATGGGTCCACTCTTATTGGCTTCAGGGCTGCAGTATTACATCTCTGTAATACTAACATCCTTGAGCTACTTGACATGGTTTTGAGGGAATTACATTTCATACATTCATGTGAAATGTAAGCAGGGAACTGTAAGCATAACTCGATATACTCATACCCCAAGAAAGCACATACACACAGTCACACATAGAAACTCTCTCCAAATGGCATACAAGTACATCACAATGTATGATGCTGTCACATCTCAATGCGTATAGGTTCTGTGATACAGTCTGACCTGCCCATTTACATACTGAATAACATCACAATTTATCTGTATCCCCTGTTGGAGATGTCTATTTTTATCATTCCCCACTGCCCTTCTAACTTCCACTACTGTTGCTATTGAACATTTATCATTAATTTGTTGGGCACTGCAGAAAACAGAAGTTACACAGTTCCTGTCCAAGAGGTCTTATAGTATCTATTACCTGGGTGAACTTTCAGGGAAAGGAAGAGGCTTGTGGATTAACTCAAGGTTTTCCTTTCCATCACCAGCAAAAAAGAAAGCAAGTGTCATGTTAGAAGTAAGGTCTCCTGCATACTTACCCCCCTGCCCATTAGGCCATTGTTGAAAGGAAGGCCAATAAAACTGAAGGCTGCTTCTTGGATGAAATATGGATTCAGGATACGGATCTCATGGGGCTCTCTTGGAACATGAGTCGCCACAGACTTCCAGAAGCCATCAGAGGCACTCTGTAGACATGCAAGAGCCCACAACAGATGGTTAGCCCACCACTTCCCATGTTCCACAATCCCATTTCATTATTTTATTGTTTTAGGCTTTTTTAAAAAATCATTTCATTCTTAAACCCACCAGCATTGGAGAAAAAATTACAACTTTTTAAACTGCCTCTAAGTTCTAGCAATGAATTATGCCAAAGACACATGAAGGTAATCTCTTAACCATTGGTCTGTTCTAGCAATTCTTGCCTGGGCCTCTTAGAGATACCTTCCATTCATATGCCATCTTCCTGTACAGTTCATGGCATCCGGTTATTCTTACAGTCATTCTTGTAAGTTACATCTGATTCATAATCCAAGAAAGATAATTGTGAATAATATTTAAGAAAACAAAAATCTCCATAGCCCTGATTACATTTATATTGTGTATCACTGAATATTACTATACAGTGGAACTTACTATTGTTATTAACAATAATTTTATATATTTGCTATTGTTAGTTGCAAAGTTGTGTCCAACCCATCGCGACCCCATGAACAACATTCCTCCAGGCCTTCCTGTCCTCCACCATCCCCCGGAGTCCACTTAAGCACACACCAACTGCTTCAGTGACTCCAGCTAGCCACCTCATTCTCTGCTGTCCCCTTCTTCTTTTGCCATCTATTGTTCCCAGCATTAGGCTCTTCTCCAATGAATCCTTCCTTCTCATTAGGTGGCCAAAGTATCTGAGTTTCGTCTTCAGCATCTGGCCTTCTAAAGAGCAGTCAGGGTTGATCTCCTCTAGGACTGACCGGTTTGATCGCCTTGTGGTCCAAGGGACTCGCAGGAGTCTCCTCCAGCACCACAATTCAAATGCCTCAATTCTTCAGTGCCCAGCCTTCCTTATGGTACAGCTTTCACAGCCACACATTGCAACTGGGAAAACCATAGCCTTGACTATACACACTTTTGTTGGCAGAGTGATGTCTCTACTTTTTAGTATGCTGTCTAGATTTGCCATAGCTTTCCTCCCCAGGAGCAAGCGTCTTTTAATTTCTTGGCTGCAGTCCCTGTCTGCAGTGATCTTGGAGCCCAGGAACATAAAATCTGTCACTACCTCCATTCCTTCCCCAGCTATTTGCCAGGAAGTGAGAGGACCGGATGCCATGAACTTAGTTTTCTTAATGTTGAGTTTCAAGCCAACTTTTGCACTCTCCTCCTTCACCCGCATCAAGAGGCTCTTTAGTTCCTCTTCATTTTCTGCCATTAGAGTGGTATCATCTGCATATTATATATATTCTTGACAAATAGACTTCAAATCTCTATGTATTTTATGTTTGTAAGTTAAGCCTAAAGATCACCCATTCAAAAATCAAATGGTTGATTAAATCCTCCACCTATTGTGTTATTACAGGTGGCCATTTATCCTTCCAGTGTTGTAATACTACAACATTTATAGCTTTTGCTTGTTATGATGGTTAGTTTTTATTTCATGATAAAAAATAAACCAATAAAATATGTTCTGGAAGATGCTATTCACAGAGTGTGCACAGAGTGTGCACACATGTGCACACACAAGCCAGCATAATAGTAGGATTTTTCTATCCATGGCTTAAACTTTTGGAGACCTCATTTATGGCCCAGACATATGGATGGATTAAACCTCTAGCACTCACTCTCCATTGTGCACCCCTGATTTTTTTGAGGAATGCTCCATAACCTGCTTCAAAGCTAACAGGCTTCACTAAATTTGCTTTCAGTATAATTCCATAACCCTTAGCATTTCCTCTTTTGGGACGTCTTCAATATGTCAAGGCTGCTCTTGTATGAAGCCATGAAACTCCTTGGGTCTATTAATCTGAAATTTGAACAACTTAAGCCCTCAGCAGGTGCAACTATTTTTGCAAATTATATCTAATTCTGCCAGGATATAAAAGTTACCAGCATTTCAGAGCTTTAAGAAAAAATCAACATATAAAAGCACACTGCATTAAAAATCACTGCATCTATTTTTTTGACATTTGGCAGATGTAATCCTGTCTTAAGGGGATAACATGCCTACATATGCCTTCCAATTCTGACTAAAATAAAAAAAATAGATTTTTTACTTCCTATGATAGTGGAGGCATCACACTTCAGATTTCCTTATCTTGGCTTATGTTTAGTATCTAAGCCTAAACAGATAGTCTCTGATGAGCCCAAGCAGAATCAGGGCTTTCCCCTCCCAAATTGGGGTCCAAGTTGAGTCTGGGGATTGGTGCACACTGCTAATTTAAACCCATCATTTCTGAGCACTGCACCAAGACTGGAGATTTGCTAAACTCTTCCGACAGCTGACATACCTACTTCAGAGATTTTTTGGACAGCAATACTAGGGCATGCCCTACTTATATCTAGTTGAAACACAACTCCTTAAGAACATGTGTTGCTTAAGATGAAATACAGCCTTATAAATGAAAAATACACACAAGAACTAATGAAGGTATCCCCAGAGCTACTAAAATTCCACCACTAGGCCTTTGCTTTCTCAAAACATTAATAAAATTAATCTTAGTTAAAACTACTTATGGAAGGAAAAGGTAGCTCCAGCCTGGCTGTTCACTAGACTGACCACCAAGATTGCTAATATATTTCTCTTGTTCTCACAATGAAGCAAACAGGCAGCCTGCCCTTTGCACCCATGGACTGTAGGAAAAGTTGAATGTCTGCAGAATGAAACACCTCATAAATACAGGGAAGGGAGACCCCTGACAGATGAGGAAGCCAGGCTCTTGGCTCATGTCTAAAATGGATTAGGTATCTTTATTTACTGTGGCTTGGTCTCTGCTTCTTATAGTACCTTTGGGAAAACCAGCTATTTGATGTAAAATTCACAGCTGAGGAAAGATTAGTGGAGACAAATCAAGCTGTTCTAATTACAAAGTGCCTGCCATGACACTCTGATTCCCTGCAATACCCAATCCAATTCTTTGGGTATTGTTCTGAAAAGTACTCAGTGCCTTTTCTGAAAACCAGGAAATCACAGGGATGTGTGAATTTATGGAAAATACTTTCCTCTTGCTTCTGGGAAAGGATGTATTGTAGGGAGTATAATAGCACCAGTAGCAGAGTTCTTATCAGTGGCCCTTGCGCGAAATTCCGTAATCATTAGTTCATCTAGAAACATGCACTAATTTCCTAATACAATATAGAGATCCACAGTTGCTATGATTGGTGTCACAGAGATTCCCAAGGTGTCAAGTTGAATCTATATAGCACATTGACACAAACCTACAGTTAAGACTGTTTTTCATGATTTCTTAAATGAACTTCCACAATCCATTCATTATGGTTTTTGTTGTTTTTAAAGCACTATAAAACCTTGATGATGATCTAGGAAAATGCCAAACACTTGCAATATCTATGGAAATGTGGGTATAAAAATAATCTATAGCTTAATGAACAAACCACTATCAAATTCAACCTTGCTTAGCTGGTTTTCTTCATCTTTCTTTCCTTTGCCTTTTGTTTTCTCCCAACCCCTATACCTTGAGATGCTCACCTACCTGCTGCACCAGCTCTATTACACTCTTACATTTTCAGTAAGAGTTTTCAAAAAATGTGCTTGGGAAAAAATTCTCATGCAATCAGAATCCTTATACAATTAGAGTCTATTTTCATTTTGGTCTACTCCAAATCCTGGAGACCATGGCCTTTCCAAGATATTCTACAATGCATACAATGCATATGTTTTTGGCAGCAGGGGAAGGAAAGGAGAGAAGGAAAGAAGAGTAGAATTGTAGTAGCAGGTTTTGCTGTGACACATTCATCTTCACTGCACTGTTTGGAAAAATTCCTTGTATATTACATACAACTGTATGTTAAAAGGATTTGGCTTTTCCAAGGCTCCTGAATCCACAGAATTCAACCCTTCGGATGTATGTGAGGGGCCTTATTTGATAGCATATTTCATGTATCTATGCTGGGGCACCAAATGTGAGATTTTGTATGAGCTAAACATGTTTTTTAAAAAATCTGAAAAAGGCTTAAGTAGCTATGCTGGTTGTTACTCACCTCTTCATGCCCAATATCCATTCAACACCCTTCCCTACTAGTCTTGATATCTGTCGAAATTTTTACCCATTTTCTTAGTGTAAGGTGTGTTGACTGCTAGGTAAGCAAACAGATACAGTGAAGTTCAGCGAAGTGATTGCTGCTGTTACAGAGACACTGCTTTCTCCCTAAAGTATGGGAAAACAGTGGTATTCCCCCATGCAGTTCTGGTAAAAAGAAGGGAATTGAGAGATAGTCCTCTCTCAGGCAAAGGCTCAGGTTCCACAAACATGGTTGATTACCTTACCCTCCTTTTCAGTCACCCATCAAATCCCACTGCTACCCTTGCCAGAAAAGTGATTCAAAGACAGAAGGGAAGCAGGCAAGCTCACAAATATATGGGATATTACTAAGAAGTTGACTGTTTACCAATACGACTATTTATAGCACGTGTTGCCTTTGTCCAAACATCAATGAGCCATTTCCTTTCACTGCATGTTTTCTGGACTTTTTGAGACAGGTTCTCAAGAGTACGACAAGAGGATCTTCTAAAACTGTCACATCAAACGTGAGCCTTCAGTCTCTTCAACCAATTTTCTGATTTATTATATGGCCCCTCTGTATGTCAACCAGTTTGCTTCACTTGTGGTTTTCTCTTATGCTATTTACATCTTAGAAAAACTTTCATATCATTTTTATGAGATACAATTTCTCTTTCCCAGGGTACTACGATGCATTGAAGCTGATAGAACCAGCTTCATCCAAATGAAGTCCGACAGAAGTTTCTGTTTTACTGTGTGACCTCCTGTTATGCCAAGTGAGGCACACAGGAAATTTATGCTCTATCAGCCTGCTGGTTTGCCTAGTTCAGCACAGCATACACTGACTGGCAGAGGCTCTCCAGAATATCAGAGGGGTTGTTCAGGCTTTCTTGGAGAAGCTAGGAATTAAACCTGGGACTTTTGCATTCAAGACAGATACTGTTTCATTGAACAGTGGC